AAAGAGCGAAAGGAGGGGCCCAGAGGTGGTCAGCTGCTGACCTCACCCAGTACTGCAGCTGTGGTCTCTGCTGCGCTCTGCAGGCCCAGCCATGCTGCAAGGCTCTGAGGGCCCTGGGATGGAGGCCGTGCTCAGGCTGGGGGAGAGTGCGCCCTGGAGCCCCACACTGTCTCAGCATCCTCCAGCTGCCACCTTCCTGCAGTCCCTCCGCTCCCGCCGATGCTTTCCACTCACAGCTTTCCTTCATTCCTGAGGGCCGGCCACACCGCGGCCCTGCCCCGAGTAATAGAACTGGCGCCTTGTGCCATGGGAGCCGTGACAGTTCTGGGTGACACTTCTGACTTTCGAAAGGGCTGGGTGTAGCTCGAGGGTATGCACTGGGCCTGCCATCTAAAACAGCCTTCCTTTGCTAGTGAGCAGGTGGGAACCCTGAGCACACACATGCTTTCCCTGTCGCTTTCTTCTCTTCCTTCATTCCTTTTTAAAAATTTGCTATAGGGGGGACCAGCAGTTAGCGTAATGGCTATGTCGCTGGACTCCTATGTAGTCGACCGGGGTTCGAGTCCCGGACCCAGTGGCTTAAACTCATGCCGGGTGCGTGTGCATGCGTGCCTGAGATCCCAAGAGGAGAATGGAGGAGAAGGGATTGAGTTGTGGCCATCCCCCCTGGGGGGTGATTTCTCCCTTTCTGTCTTTCTTTGTCTTTCCGGAGAGCACCCGCATCCTATAGCCAAAACCTCTCCAAAAAAGAAAAAGAAAGAAAATAAAAGAAATTATCTGGCTTGTTACTGTAGCTGGAGAACTCTTAGATCTTACTCATCAGCCTGCTAACGTGTACTCTTCTCAGAGACACAGATACCATCTCAGAGCTTCCTTATATCCTTATTTTATTTATTTATTTATTTTTTGGAGAGGTTTTGGCTATAGGATGCGGGTGCTCTCCGGAAAGACAAAGAAAGACAGAAAGTGAGAAATCCCCCCCCAGGGGGGATGGCCACAACTCAATCCCTTCTCCTCTCAGGATCTTGGGCACCCACGTACACGCACCCAGCGTGAGTTTAAGCCACTGGGTCCGGGACTCGAACCGCGGTCGACTACATGGGAGTCCAGCAACATAGCCATTATGCCAACTGCTGGTCCTCTTATATCCTTATTTTTAATGGTCGTGGCTTGCTGTATCAAAGCAGCTGAATTTGAACAAGTTCAATATCATTGCCTCGGGACCAGCAGTTAGCATAATGGCTATCTCGCTGGTCTCCCATGTAGTTGACCATGGTTCAAGTCCTGGACCTGGCTGCTTAAACTCACGCCGGGCACATGTGCGTGCGTGCCCAAGATCCCGAGAGGAGAATGGAGGAGAAGGGATTGCGGCATGGCCATCCCCCCGGGGAGTGATTTCTCGCTTTCTATCTCTCTGTCTTTCTGGCGAGCGCACGCGCCCTATAGCAAAAACCTCTTCAAAAAAATAAAATATATATCATTGCCTCCAAGGGTCAACTCATCTTTCTGGGCTTGAAATACTGAATAAACAACACTCAGTCACATGCGAACCTCCAGATGTATCTCCCACCCAAGACATTTCGGATTTCAACAAGAGACCCCTTCTCCTGAAGAAGGACGTTAGTGGGACATGAGGGACACAGGCCTCTCTTGCAGCGGAAGCCACTGGCGTCTCACGTTCTGCATGTGACTACAGAAGGTGCGAGCTGTAGCCAGCTCCTGTTTCCCCACCGTTTCCCGCAACCTCTTCTGTTTCTCTCCAAGGAGACTGACTTCCACATTGATGTGATTGAGGTCCCTCCGCAGGGTTCCTCTGGGGCCCTCCACAGTAACTGTGCTTCCCTTCAGAGTGATGTTGACATTCTCTGGAATGTCAATGTGTGATTGCTAAGAATGGTCTTTATCCTGTTACAGTCTGGCAGTGAGAAACAAGAGGACACCCAGACATAGCCAGTTTATTGGAGTTTATTGATTAAGCCGGCAGCATGCAGGGGGACTCATGTCTCTCAAAACCCCACTGCCCGAGTGTAAGGTGAGGGCTTATAAAGGCAAAAATGCACCTCAGGGATGACGTGACGATTCAGAGGGGGAGGTGCAGTGGGCTCCGATGGGGAGGAGGGCAGGGGTCGAGCTTTAACAGCGCAAGAGCAAAAGCACAGCGCAGAAGCAAGAAAAGCAGGTTAATCATTCTCCAGGGTCTGTTCTGGCTCTGCCTAAACACAATAGAATCTTTTCAAACATTTTTTCTTTTTGATTTTATTTATTTATTTATTCATTTAAATTTGATTAGAAAGGGACAGAGTGAAAGGAAGACAGAGAGAGAAAGGAAAAGTGAGAAAGCAAGCTGCCAGGTCTGGGACTTGAGCCACGGTAGGCCATATGGGAGAGTCCAGCATCCTTACCCACCACACCACCTGCCAGTCCCCACAATAGAATCTTTTTTTTTTTTGGAAAGATTTTCACTATAAGGCGTGTGCACTCGCCAGATAGACACAGAGAGAGAGACAGAAAGGGAGAAATCACCACCCAGGGGGGATGGTCACGCCGCAATCCCTTCTCCTCCATTCTCCTCTGGGGATCTTGGGGACGCACGCACACGCGACCGGCGTGAGTTTTAAGCCACCGGATCCGGGACGCGAACCGCAGTCGACTACATGGGAGTCCGATGCCATAGCCATTACGCTAACTGCTGGTCCCTATTTATTTATTTATTTTAAATTGACCAGAGCGGGACAGAGTGAAAGACAGAGAGAGAGAAAGAGAAAGTGAGAAAGCAAGCCACCAGATCTGGGATTGAAATCGTCGTCAACCATGTGGGATCCAACACCTTAACCACCACGCCACCTGCTGGGCCAACACTTCCTGGTTTTATTCCTCATGTGTCGCTAAGTCCCAGGTCTGTGACTGGTCCCACTCCAAGGTCCTCGCAGCGGAGACGTGCCAGCCCTGGCGAGGGTGGTGGCCAGGAGGAGGTGTGGGGTCCACGTGAGTATTGGGGGGGGAGGGGTGTCGCCCAACGCAGGGACCGCTGAGCCAACTCGGGACCCGCAGCCTTTCTCTCGCTTTCCCAGATGCTAGGTCGGCAGCACTGGGCAGGGCACTCTGTACCGGGGCTTGGCGGGGCAGAGTCGCCTCTCCTTGCGGCCACCTTGGGTCAGGAGAGGACTTCTCCGTGTCCTCGGAGGTGGAGATCTGGCAGCCTAGACCCGCCCCGCTCCAAGCCGCCGCACCACCCGCATTCGGGTCCCAGCTCCGCCGCCGCGCCACCGCGGCCACTAGGGGCCGCTGTCGCCCAGCAGCTGCTTCCCGCGGCGGCCCCGCGGCGGGGGC